CTGTTTTTTACTTTATGTATTTATTTATTTTTTGCCTTTATCTAATATGCAGTACATAAAGTGTACATTTGTGTTTGTCTCCAGTCATCCGTTCGCCCAGCCAGACCACCAGCTCCGATCCAGTCAAAGCCACCAAGCTACTCCGAGGTGTCAGCAGCCAGTGCCGGTAAAGCTCTGAAATACAACTGTTCAGGTGCTATTAGTTTATGGACGAAATTGTGTGTAATGGGGTGTGTGTCTGTGTGTTTTTGCGTCTATGTGTCTGAGTACAGGAGCTGGAGTAAGGACTAAAAACACTCTCTACCCAAGTGTCTCTGTCTATAAATCTGAAACCTCAAGTGAGTTTTACATTAACTTTCATTACTTACTCCTTACCAGCTATTCTTTTTTTTTTTCTTTCATTGTCATTTTGTGAGGGCCGCTGTGACTCCTTGAGCCCACTTTCAAACTCAGAGGCCTCTGACTTGGTTTTATTGCCCATGTTAGTAACTGGTTTTGGGTCTGGAGAATTCAAATCAACCAATTAGTACAAACATATTTTTCTTTTCTTTGGGTTTTTGTTTGCATCTTATTATAGTCAGAATCTGTCATTTTTCTTTTTCTTTTTTTTAATCCTTTTTGTTGTCATTTTGTTTTAAACCATTTTGCGTCCCATTTCAGACAGATTTCCATGCCTTTTGTGGCCGTATTGTGTTTCTGTGGTCAGTTTGTGTCTCTTCATAATTGTTTAGCACGGCATTGTGGTTGTAATGGACGGCTTAACAACATCCTGGGGTTTTTTTGCTCGAGAAATGGTTAAACTGATGCAAAACAAAAAGAACAAAAGTTGTTCGTGCTCATTTTGTATCCCTTTTCTTTTAGTTTGTCAACTCTCCATGTGGTTGTTTAGCATCGTTTTCAGTAATTTTGTCTCCCATTTGTATTTACCTTGTTTTCTATCTTCATGTGGTCACATGGCACACCGTGTATTCAAGTCTGTTATTAACCCACGACCTTGATGCAGCCAGTACCAAAACCCATTAATAATCCTAGTGTTTTGTGAATGTACATATGTGCGTGTGCATACTTCGGCGACACACACCTGTTCAAACAGCTACGTTGTGGGGACCTGACCCCTTTGTGTTGATAAACGAGTCCTCCAAGGTAAATGATTAATTTTATGGTGAAGACGTGGTTTAAGGTCAGTGAGTCTTCAGCAAATTAATGTAAGTCAGTATGATTGCTTGTGCAGTGATAAACACATTAATATATTGTTATCAACTTTGGGGCTGCAGCTCTCTCTAGTGTTCACAGCACATATCTGCAACTTAAACTGCAGCGCTATTTATTTTAAATAAGGTCTTTATTTAAACACTAATGAATAAATTTTAATGGAGGAAGATGGAAAAAGAGCATTAGTCTTTCATATTTCTTGTTTGAGAACTTATTTTTATTAATGTTTTCACAGCTGTAGATTAATTTTCTCCAGATTCATTAACCGTGACTTAAATTGATGTTTTGTTTCTCTTTCAGGTCAGTTTGCCTCCAGAAACTCTCAGATGAACGGTATGAATATTTGACACATCTCACACAAAAAATGAGTCTAGTTAACAAGAAAGTTGAGGTGCTGTGCAAAATGTAAAGTCAAATGAAATGATCTGCAAATTTCATAAACCCAGATTTTATTCACAATAAAGCATAAAAAACACATCAAATGTTTAAACTGAAAAAAAAAAACATAAGCACATTTTATATTTGATGGCAGCACCTATTCATTTAACAGTAGTCCATAAAACTAGGAATTGTGGCAATGTATTGCCTGGTAGAAGATTCTAGCTGCTCAGTAGTGCTGAGTCTTTCCCCCCCCCCCCAAGGTTTAGCATTGTCTAGATAAAATGTGTAAAAATATATGTTGCTTTAAAACTTTTAGATACCCTGAGCACTGATGGTGCCTTTCCACATGTGCAAGTTGCCGGTTCCAAAGGCACTCATGTACCCCCATACCTCTTGGACTAAATAGTGATAAGGAGCCTGTTTATCAAAGTTCTCTTAAGTTCCCAGTTTGTAGTGCCCATGCACTAGAATTTCAAGAATTTCACATTTGGATTCGTCTGACCACAAAACAGTTTTCTACTCTGCCTCGATCCCCTTCAATTTAACTTTGGTCTAGACAAGACATGAATTATGTTCAGATTTGTGGATGGCACAGTGAGTGTTCCTGAGTCCATGCAGTGATTTCCATGACAGCACTGCCACCTGAGGGCCTGAAGATCATAGGCATCCAATATTGATTTTCAGCTTTGTCCCTTAATTTTTTCCCAGATTCTCTTAAGCTTTTGATGTTTTTATGTAATTTAGAGAATGAGATTTTCTGATGATCTAATTAGATGAAAAATGTGCCTCCAGCTGTTTCTTTTTAGTAACCCTTACTATTTCAGCTTTTGTTTCGTAACTAATTCAAAAGAAGCTTTTTTTCATGAAATAGTAAAATGTCTCAGTTTCAACATCTGTTTTCTGTGTTATTGTAAATAAATATTAATATTCTGAATTGTACAACATAAATATATCAGACCTACATTAAACGGTGAATTTGCAGTAAATTAAATCTGCTTTTGTCAAATGTTTGTTTTGTTTCTGTTTTACTTTCTTTGTTTTTGTTAATTGTAGATTGGGGATCATCAGAGGGTGGAGCCATTGGGCTGATGGTTGTCACAGCGACACACCCCTTTGCAGGGGAGCAGCCAGGTGACCTCAGCTTTGTGCCAGGCGACCGTATCACTGTCATCACGAAGACCGACTCCCAGTATGATTGGTGGGAGGGGCAACTGGAAGATGGTCGGGTTGGGATCTTTCCTGCAAACTTTGTTACATATTGACACTACCCTCTGGATGTCTGACAGAAAAACATCTGAAAGAACCAATATTGGGTAGAATGAGTTTGGAACGTGGTTGTTCTGTTAGGCGTAAACACTCCACTGCATGAATATATTTGTAAATGAATTAATAATCCTTCGGTTTTTCACATAGTAAATGTAATATTGGAAATTTTGAAACATTTGTCAGGCAAAATACATTTTGACATATTTTAACTGGCATTTTTAACCATTTCAAATGTTTCACATTTAATATTGAAGTACCACTGTTTGTTTGTTTCTTGGTACAAATTTGAATCACAAAAAGACAACCACTTGGATTAAATGAAATCAACTATTCCATTATTATTGTTATTATTATGATTATTAGTTTCATCATCATAATTATTATTATTTACATTTATTTTGAAATTGAATGGCAACTTTAGGCTGGTTGCCTAAAGGCTGGCTGCCAAGAGAAGCATTTGTTTGTTTGTTTGTTTGTTTGTTTGTTTTTCTTTTAGTTTAGTTTAGTTTCTTTTATAGTTTAAAGTCTTGATAGTTTAAGATCAGTGGCACCACCAAAACTGCTGTAAAGTCTAAAAATCGAACAAAAAGTTGAAATTTAACTGTCAGCTGCTGTGATCAGGGAACTTTAAGGGGCTGTAGATTTCAACACCAACTGTTAAGCACTTTCTTTAGCTCTTTAAGTCAATGTGTTACAATTATTGTGGAGATGGTTATGCTGACTTGCTGCACCCTTGTTCTTTTTTTCTTTTTTTTTCTGCATGTAAATATGGTTACACATAATGTTGTAATAATGTTAAATGGAGCAGGTTACAAGGTGGATGAAGGAATTTTTAAGGAGTTTAATATGCATATCAGTTTAAATATTTTGTTTTTCTTCACTTTGCACTTTTTTAAAATGACATTTAAAGTATGAGTTTAGGGATCTGCTAATGTTTTAATCTTAACAATGTCTTCAGATTAATAACTGTGGTGTGTGTGGGGGGGGCTTTTTCATAGCTGCAGTACAATGTACTGTTTGGATCCTATGCAAATATTAATAAACCTTATGTGTTCTAAAATATGCGCTTGTTTTTATGCAGAGAGAACAACAGAAATTAAAAAAAGCTAACTGGGCTAACATTTGAATATTTCCTGCTTAATCTCACAGAAAAACATTACATTACTGAAATCCCTCACATCATCAGAATTAGTCACATTTATTTAAAGTCGTTGTCAATGACATCAAAGTAAAAACAATATTTGTTTTTATCACAAACTTGTTTACAATAATACAATAATTTTTACTATTATGATTTTGTTACTGTGTATAATAATACATAGTGCCATAGTGTCTGCTCCTGTTATGGTCAATTATATTATATTTGCACAAATTTATTTAAAAAAACACATTTAAAGATTAACACCCACAACAAAGGCACAATACTGTAACATACCTGCAGTTGTTAAAAACATTTAATTACATCTGAAATCTACATTTTTGTTGTTTTTGTCTGTTTTTAGTTTTAAATCTAAGAGAAACTGATACTAGAGATGATGAAGATACTCTAAACCTACTTGTTACCCTCGTGGCTTTGCTAGGCTACTTACAGTAGTGCTTCCAGCTTCTTCTTTTTCTTTTTTTTTAAACTTTATTGGCAGCTTCACATTTCAGCTGTTTATTGTTTCCACTTCATAACACCCTGCTTCTGTCTCTCTTTGTTTCTTTGAGAAAACTCCAAGCAAACCAAAATGTGTTCCTACAAAGCATGTGGCATTCACATGTCTGGGACAGGACCAACAAATGAAACATGGGAAAATAGTGGCATCTCCTGGAAAAGTGGATAACATGGAGAATTTACTTGTAACAACAACTAGTTACTACAGTTTGTGTACTCAGCGCATCTATGGTACTCAATGGGCCAATGGGATGCAGCAGAATCCATTAGTGGAAGCTCAAACCTGCATTGTACACTTGGTAGTGTGGAAGGAAGTATTGTCTTTTTGTGTATACAAGCATATATTTGTGGTCTTTGGCCATAAATATATTGTCTTTTTGAGTTTGATACTTACAACATGTAAAACTGGGATAGTGGCAAAAAAAAAGACTGGAAACGCTACATAAAGCTAACAAAAAGAGAACAAGGAAACCACTAAATATGACCATTTTTCAAATATGTCCTTTTTTCCCCTTAATTGAGTACAAAAACAGGATAAGAATGAAATAAAGAGATGGATGAGTTTTAAGTATTTCTGGATGTTATCATTTACAGTTTGTAACATTGTTAAAAGAGTCAGATAAATCCCTGTAAAAACCAAATCTAAACGATTCTCATTAAATAGAGATTATGATTATGCACAGCACTGGCTCAAGCATACTTATTTCAAAACTCTAATTTAAAATGTCTTTTTACACTCATAAAACAATGGATGAACCCAAAACTGCTGATTAACGAACACAAAAGGAAATCAGCATTTGGTTCAATTTATTTTCACAATAATAAAAACGCAAAGTGGTAACAAATAGAAAAAAAACAGCATAAGAATAAAACACACCTTTCAAGTCTTGGAAATCCTCCAACATCCTCTAAGAGGGAATAATTTCATCCTGCCGGCTGGTATGAAGTTTCTCTAACATGAACTCATGTTTGTTTTTGGTCTAATTAATATCAAAGCAGTAACTGAAAGCTGTCGGCTGCATTCATATCAGCAGTGCTGAAATTGTGCTGTCTTTCTCCACAGGGAACGTTTCCACTTTGCTGGTTTGGCTGCTCACCAGTGTCCTGAAAAATCACACAGCAGGACATGCTGTGAATGAGCCAGGCAACTCACATGTGATGTCATATATTTTATTTCTTTATATTTCTTTATATTTTACAAATGTAGCTGTTTTTCTGAAAAACAAATGTACATCTCTGGGTTTTACAGCCATTATTACTGGTTTTTGTAAACTACTTAAAAAAAATAAGAACGTTAAAGAAAGTTATTGCCACCAAAACGACCAAAACTCACTCTGTCCTCCAGAGCGCATCCATGGCGGGCTGGTGGGGCTGTAGCTGCCTGTTGCAGTCCTCCACAGAGTCAGGAAGTGGGATACCACTGGTTTCCGGCAGCAGCAGGCACAGTCCACAGCATATGATTGGTCCACTGCTGTAGATAACCATAGCAGCCAAGGAGATTGCTCCGTCAGGGTTTGCGGGGACGAGGGTGTTGACCAGGCAACCGAGCCGGAAAGACAGGTTGACCAGTGATAAACAGCGTTGCCTGGATTTAAAAACAAAAAAATATATACTCTTATTGAACAATGGCTAGAGAAGATTTCTGCTGTACTGTTTAATTGCCCCGACATCCTAACATCTAATCTCAGATGAAAAGTAGCTCAAAAACCAATAGGACCAATTAAATTTGCAAGACTTCAATATTAGCTAGAAGATCATACATAAACAAATCATTCAACTAAGTATTGGAAGTAAGAAGCAGATGCTGTGGAAATATATGCTTAATGAGAGTAAAACAACCTTACAACTTTTGCTTTCAAGTTAAATCATACCTCTGTAAGCTAACTAATATGTACAACTGGACGGGGTTTATGGTGCCCTTGGTTCACCATGCAACAAAAGAGAAGTTTCATACAGAAGATACATGCTGTTAAACTGATGTTTAGTTTCCAGAAACTGCTCGTCTGTGTACGTGAAAAAGATGATGGGTAGATTTCAGTTCACAACCATTTAGTAACCAAATTGCCAAAAAACAGAAAAATATAATCTGACTGATATTTTCGCTTTGGTAAGGACAACATCTGCCGTGGCTCATAACACAAACACTTTGTAACAGCAGAACCGGTTACCATCCTTGATCCATCCTTGGTCCAGGGGTCCAGTCCAGAGACTGCTTAGCTTAAGTGAAGTTTAGCAGACAGCTAGCAGTTACAGCTGTCTGTGTCTTTACTACTTGTCAGTCAAAAAGGCCACGCCCCTATTTTTAAAAAACAGCTCATTTTTAATACAAGCGTTATAAGACATGTACTTCCACCCCCATAAGGCTGTTAGAAAGAGGTAAATTAAACAGGTTATAAACATGTTTATTTTGAAGTAAATCTGGACATTTTAAGTTTGAAGCCAGGCTCAAGTGAACATTAGAGGGATGTCTGCTTGTGGAAAACCTGCATTAAAGAGTGTTGTGTTGTTTTGTACCTGACCACAGTGGGGAACAGTTCAATGCTATACAGAGTGGAGATAAAGATGGCAGCCAGGACGCAGAGTTTCCCCAACAGAGCCAGACTCATAACCAGCATCGGCGTACCTGCACCAGAGTATCAGAGTACCAGTCTCAGATTTGATTGGAGGCTGCAAACTGCATATAGAATGATTCCACCTACTCCCACTAATGTTATGTTTTTTCTACCAATATTAAATACCAGTATTTTCTCCCACTAAAAATATTGATACAGATTAAATAAATCGACTGCCTGGGACAAAGAGCAACTGTCATCAAGAGCTTTCAACAGTCTCCTCTTGTGGCGTTCAAGAATAGAAACCTAAGAACAGATGCTTTTCTAATTTTTTTATTTAATGTTGTGTTCATTTTAGTTTAATTTAATTTAATATTTAATGTCTCTTAAAAATGATTATGAACTAACCTAAATTACTGAAAATGCGGATAAGGACTTCCTCACTCACCATTGTACCTGGACAGGAGTAACGACACGAAGCAGGCAGCTCCACTGAGGAACAGAGCGAGCATGCTCATTGGCCGGCGTCCTAGACGAACCAATGGGACAAGCAAGCAGGGAGCTTCTGATAGCCCGGAAAAGAACTGGGCGGAGTAAACGCCAACACCAAATGAGCCGATGTTCAAACAAATTCCATAGTATGTCAAAGCTGATGCCGCACTGGAGGATGACAAGACATTTATTTATGTATTTATTCATTTATTTTATTATGTTTTTAATTTACCAAGATTTTGTTTTGTGAATTTTAATTTTTGCACTTTTATTATTATTTATTTTCCTTTTATTTTATTTCCCTTTATTTTGTTTGATGGATTTGGATTTATTTTATTTATTTCACCTTATTTATTTATTTTATTGTATTTATTTACCAGTATTTTGTTTTGTGAATTTTCTTTTTTTTTTATTTCACTTTCACCTTATTAATTAATTAATTAATTTATTTATCTATCAAGGTTTCCTCTGGACTTGTAAGTGAACACTTTAAACAATGATGAATTTTAAAACAAAACTGTGACAACGTTTCTGATTAAGGTTTGTTTGACATAAACCTGTAAAAGTTTAACTTAGCATATTGAAGGGTTTTTTTGTTGTTACTTAACTACAGTTTGGTTTTGTTTCACAGTTTTCCGTATAAATAGAAATTAGTAAATACAAATTTACCCTCAGCAGCCTTTTATCCATCAAACACTCACTCAAGTGTAGGACTTTTAATGATGTCAGCTTATTTTTCCTGTGTGCCTGGTGTTATAACTCACACAAACCAAAGGTCCCTGATGACGAAATGCTGTTACTTCACACCGGTTGTTTATGTATTATATAACCCTGTTACCTTTGGCCACAAGCAAGAGGAGGCTCAGACTTATTGAGAACAGTCTATTCTCGTTCCTTAAACTCCTTTATTCCAGTTTTACAAATCATTCTGCATGCAATACTAAAAGACTCATATATCTATATCTATCTATCTATACACACACATACATATATATACAGTGGAACCCCGACATACGAAATTAATTTGTTCCAGAGGGTCTTTCTTAAGTCAAAATGTTCGTAAGTCGAAGCACCTTTTTCCATCGCCTTTTGAGTGAGGCGATGCTGGCTGAAGACGAAGTTCTTGGTGGAGGCTGAAGAAAGCATACGTATGCATGCAAACGTATGTACGTGTACATGTACATAACGTTATGGAATTTAATTCTAAACACTAAAAACTAAAACTTACATTTACGTTAATTAATGTACATATGTACACTGTGCAATGATATTTTTTAAACTCGCTCATATTTATGCAGGCTCCATTATGAATGAACAACAGGCTAATTGCAAACAAAAAGGACACGAAATAGCGCACTG